GACCCTTGTGAGGGAGCCACACACTGTCCTGCCCTCCCTCTGATCCCAGCCTGCCTGCTGTCTGCACAGGGTGCTGGTAGAAGATGGAACAGGTGAAGCTGTGGTGTTGTGCAGGAATGAACATGTGGCAGCAGTGCTGGGCCTGAGCCTTCTTGAGTGGGAAGCTGTGCAGAACTGTGTACAGAGCAGGGGCAGTGTGTGCATTCAGCATGGGGAAGCTCCTGGAACAGTGGTGAGTGGGTTATTCTAGCAGCAATTGCAGTCTGCTGGGCTCAAGTCTTGGCTGGACAGGATTTCCCTTTGCTCTGGGTGTTCCAGAGCCTCCCTGCCTCCCTCTGAACACTCCCTGGCAACACTCTTTCCTTCCTCAGTGTCTAGAGGAACTCGAGGATCTTGTTGCTTGTTACCTAAGGAGTCTGTGCAGGAGTCCTCTCATATGTCGGCCTATCCTGCTGGATTTCAGCCTAGACAGGAAGCCTTCCAAGATCCTGCATCCCGGTAAGCAAGAACTGCTGGCTTTTCTAATACGTAGTGTGGGAAGGAAGGGAGGAGGCATCTCACCAGCCTGGGGAGGGAGAGGTGCCTTCACTACCCACAAAGCAAGATCTTTGAAGGATTTTCCTGGAATTTTGATTTCTGTGGTGCAGAACTAAGTTGTGTCTTAGTAGATCCATGGCTATAGAAATAGAGAAAAAGTATTATGGAAATCACTAAAACAACATACATTAATTTCTCTACTTCACATAGAAACAGAAAATTGTTTAACTTGAGAAAGACTCCCAGTCTTCGTCTGGGGTAGGAATCTGATCAGCCAGAGTTATTGTGCAGACCTCTCAAATCATGTGGGTTTTGACTTTAAACAGCATATAGGGTCTATAGTAGGCATGGAAATCCTCACCTGGAAATCAACACTGAAGTGTTTTGAATTCATGAGTGCTGAGGTTCGAGCTCATGCTGCCACAACTATGCAGTTGCTGTGGTAAGGGGACATTCTTCACACCAATTCTTCACACTGTTTGCACAAGTACCTAGTGCTTAAATTTGAGTCCTGGTGCTGCAGGGGTTGATTTGCTAAGCTCACCAGAGGATGATGCTCTGCAGTGGAGACTGTTTCTGGCTGTCATGTACACTGTCCGTAAAGGCAGGTTGCTGATACTGATAGAGGGTACAAAACTCAGTGCATCAGCTCTGTGAGCACATAGGTCACAGCGTTTCACAGTGTAGAATGTCTGTTTCTTCCAAGTTTAGACGGGTACTGACAAAATGCATTCATCTGCCTATATGCTGGAATCATTCATCATGCTGTCCTTTGAGGTTTAGCAGCTCCTGCAAGACCTTTCCTCCCCCAGCAGTTTCTGCAGCTGTGGGCTAGAGCAGAGCCAGAGCCCTGTACCGAGTTGTTACCCGTTGTATTCTTCCCCTGCAGCTCCCCTGCAGCTGCGGAATTTTCGCTGTGGTGAAATGGAGTTTGTGTCACAAGTAGGGCCTCGTCTGAGCCTGCTGTGCCTGAAGGTGGAGGAAGTGGGACAAGATGCCTTACGCTACCTGAACAGCCAGAGGATGAGGAAGACATCCAGTTCCTGCTGAGTAGGAGCCACTGCTTAATATCTCTCCCAGTGGGAGAAGAATTGTGCAAATACCTGCTGGGATCAGGAGTTTTTTTAATCTCCTTTCCAGTGGGAGAACAAGCCTGTGAGCACAGGGTGAAGTGTGCAGTCAAGCAGCTGCTGTGAGTTGTGGATTTCCTGAATGGTCACTCTGGGGCATTGTCAACCAGTGATACTGGGCTACATTTTGGAAGAGAGATGTTCAGTGCTTCCTATGTGACAGCTCTTGCCTTGGGCCTAGGGCAGACAGTGTGTGCATTTTGTGTGGTAGTAGTATCTACTAAATAAAGCTATGAGAATATTACTTAAAGAACACTGTATCTGTTTTAGTATCTATTTTAGTATTCAGGTTTACTTGCTATTATGGTGACCATTAAACAAAACTATACAGTTCCTACAGGGTATGGTCTTCTTAACCTAACTGAAATTATTAAAATTACACTTTTTAAAGCATCTTCTTCAGGAAGAGAAGGGAAGTGAGCAAGCTGCTGTTTAGAGACTACATCACAGTACTAAATGACTAGATTGTTTGGGCATTGTTTTGCAGTTTATGAACAGCAGCCTGAACTCTAGGTGGGGATGCTAAGAAGAGGCAGGCACTGAGCTGTGATACAGGCAGTGGGTTTATTGAGCATGAGTGAAGTATCTTCCCTCTCAAGGCCTGCTGTCCACTTCTGAGACCAAAGTTTGAGTGGCACAAGACCTGATAGATGCCACCATTCAGTAAAGTTCTGGGACTCCATCCTAAAAGGTTGCCAAAATAGCTTAAAGCAGAATTCTGCAAATATTCCTGTGACAGCCTTATTTTCTGTGGGTGCTTTCTGCAAAACAGAAAAGATTTTACTAAAGCTTACTCTCCACCCTCTAGAAAGAAAATAAACCAAAAAATACCAACCAAAAATAAACTATCTCAGCCTGAGGACAATGTTGACCATAAGTGATAAGACAAAGATCAAATCTGGTTAAAAAGCATACCTGAAAGTAGTCCTGTAACATGAATAACACAATAACAGACAGAAACAGATAGGAAGTACCAGATAACACTTAAAAATAAAAGGGAAAATTAAGCTCTATTGTTTTATCTGAGTTTAATAACTTTGCTTCTGAATTTGAACCTTCCAGTAGTATCTTACTAGTCTCCTTTTCCTCCTCATACTGTATGTTAGTTTTCTGTCTGGTGTCTACTTATTTGTTCTTTTATTTCACATTACAAATGCAATCATCAGTCTTCATACGGGACTTTAGATGTTGTTATAGATAATAAAGAGATTCAGCCGAATTGAGTATAATGAGGGATTTCAGGCAATTTATTCCCTCATGCCTTTAAGGGCTTCTTTGGGGCTTTTTCCTGAATTTTGCTCTTCTTCTGTCCCATTCTTAAAAGAATTGAAAATTTCCTTACCTTGTTTTTATGCCAGAATCGTCCAGATGACCTCTTTTAAAATTTTAGCGATACTGTACTTATTTTTAATTTTTCCTTTTTTATTTAATTTACCAGTCTACTTAGCCTCACAGAGAACTGTTCTGTGAGCTTTTCGAAAGGTAGCAAGCTCTCTCCCTTTCCTGGACTTACCTAGTCCCCAGATCCAAAAGGTTTACCAGTTCTCAACACTTGAGAACGTATCCTCCCTTTTGATCCCCGTTCATGATCGACCTCTAAAACTTCGCTGAGTTTTAGGCTTTTCACATGAGCAAGAGAGAACAACCACGTTAGGTTCGCTTCCCCTTCACCTGACCACGTCCCTCATGGGATAGTGGAACTGCGGTTTCAGGGTCCACACTTGCTTTGTGATAAGATCACGTCTCACATATGCGCCCGATCACTCCTCACTCGACCATGCCATACTTACGGTTCCTTTTCTCGTGTGGGTTCTTCGTGCACATAGAATTTTGTGAGTGAAAAAATTTCGCCGCGGCTTTTCCGACAGCTCTGGGCCCATTTTATCCCCTTTCGATTGTGGCACTGGCTTTTGGGCTTGAGATTCTGATTGGTTCCAAAAATTGTCCCGATTCCATCAGGCTGCTGAATTCAGCAGGGCACTTCCTGAGCAGAGGGGAGCCTTCTCAAACCCACCAATCAGAATCATGTTGGGGTCATCAAGATTGTTATAGATAATAAAGAGATTTAGATGAATTGAGTATAATCAAAAATAAGTGATAATTTATTTCGTGACCGGGATATGGTCCACGACAGCCACAATCGCAAAGAACAATGCCGAGCCTAGCATTGGCGCCGGGTGAACACGCTATGATCTGAACTCTACGGCTCTGGATCCCCCAATGTTTATTAAACCGCTTTGATCAGTCCAGTTTATATACAGTTTTTCCTAGCCTGGAGCAGAGGTCTTTGTCTCCTTTCGTCGTTTCGCATATTCATGTGGTTTTCTTTCTTTGCTTGGGCTGGACAAAACCATATTCTGGGAGACGATGAATTCTGATGAAGGCAGGCCTTGGTTTACAGGAAGCTGGTATTGAGATGTACTTTTCCCGATGGCTCTGGTTATCTTAATCGTGGGTGCTTGTCGGGAGCTCATAGTTTGGTTGTTCCTTGTTTGTTTCCAAGAGAGTTACCTCTGTTGAGGACACGTCTATTTACTTGTTAATCTGGGCTGTCCTGCTTTTGTTGGCTGTTACAATGTTGTGATGAAGCAATTGGTGTTCTTTTCGTCCGTGGTTCTCTTTTTGGTTTCTGAGTTTTCTTTATTATTTTATTCATACAAACATTGCTTATTCCATGTTAATTTACAACTTTACACGAATTACATTATATCATATATTACAATGTGGTTTGTCTTTTCCACGATATTCCAAGCCTGCTGGCAGTTTTCTAACCCATCGCCGTTCCATCATTCACATCTTTTTCAGAGGGGAGTTTGATTGTAGCATTCCAAGAAGATGAAGAAGATTAACTGGCTCTCTTGTATAATACAGACAGAGAATCACAAGCAAAGAGATGGGTTAATCAAATCTTTTTGGGTGGAGTTAAGATTTACTTGCCTTTAATACTCTGAAGGAGCAGTTCTCAGCTGTATTGCAAGAAACCCTTTTCCTGTTTGTGTCTGAACTTCTGCCCTTGATCAGAGCTCTGGTCACTGTGTTAGATCAGACAAGGGAAACATCTTATCCTGTAATCAGAACTCTTCCTTTATACAATTCTCCTTATCACATTCCGTGTTCTCTTTGTGAAGCCAAACAAAGCGTCCTGGTGTTGGTGTGGGTAAGAAATAATAACACAGGAAAAATCAGCTAATTTCATGTTTGTGCTACTGTATGCTCTGGAACTGGAAGGAGCTGTTAAAGTCCTCAGCCCCAGAGGGAGGAAAGCCTGAAGTGAGTCCTGCCATCACTGTAGCTGTAATAACTGTTCTGTGTGGAAAGACAGACATGTTCCTTTCAGCTGATTTTCTTTAGCTCATCCTTTCACCAGTTCACCTCCAGGTCCTACCACCCAAAGCCAAAGCTGATGAATACTGAAGGCAGGTGTCCTGTGCTTTGGCTGTGTAAGCCCTCCTTATTCCAGGTCTGCAGGGGATTGGCTCAGGCTGGCAGCTCCCTCTAGCCACGTTCAAGGTATCTGTAGTATTTACTGGAGACAGCACACTGTAGTGTGGAGTTGTGTGAGTAAACTGGGAGCAAGCAAGCCTTGTACTGTAGCAGGTCCTGCAAGCAGGGAGGGAGAGATAAAAGCCCTAAGCCCTTTTGTGGCCTTGCAGCCATAAACTGCAGCCCAGGTCCAGAGGGTGCAGTAGAAAGAGAACGAGGGGACAAACGAGAGCTGAGAGTTGATGGTGCAAGAGAAGGGTCTCTGTGGTTGCAGAAAGTGATGGGAGAAGCCTGTGGGAGGAACAAGCCATGTTTCCCACCTAAAGGTGGGGATGAGGAAAGCGTGGGCAGAGGGGAAAGACACATTCTCCCATTCTGGCAGGCTTGGGATAGGTCTGCTGCTGCAGCCAAACTCCCAAAGAGGATCTACATATTTTGTACATGTGGAAGTTTCTCTTCCCAAGCTTACCTCCAGGTCCAGCAGAGTTTCCAATTGCTTTTTAGAGGCTTTGTGGTGATAGCAGGTACAAGGGAAGCAAGAGCATCCAGTGACAAGCTAGAAAGGAGGATGACACTGACTCTGCATTCAGGTTCACCAGCTGCAAGTTGGTCACCTTTGTAACACTGAAATCTGTAGCAGAAGAATAGTGAGAGGCTACCAGTACAAGAACACAGCAGGGAAGGCAAATAAAGTGTGTACTTATTCCTTCCCGTTTTTCTGAATGTGGATGAAAACAGACCCCGCCCCTTGTACTGGAGACCAATTGCAATGAAGTCCTGCCCATAGAGGCATTATGGCCCTTCTCATGTAGAACAGGAGAACATACTGAGACCTTTGGAAAGTTTGATTTTCTCTGAGTAAAATGGCCTTTTAAATAAAGAGATTGGGCTAGAGTCAGAGATATTGTTATCAATAACCACTAAAGGGGCCTTTTGGTTTGGTACACAAATTGGATCTAAGCTGAACTGGCTAAAAAAAGTGTCAAAAGAGGTGGGGTTTGGTTGGTTGGTTTTGTTTTGGTTAACATTCCAAGCAATACAGTCCTTTGAAGTGTGTCTCAGTACCATGAGACGCATATGAGATAGCAGAAGCAAACACAGACCCTTTCATTCATCCCAGGGACAGACAGAAGTGGTTGGATTAGCCACGCTTTCAGTCCCTTCCTTGACTGACACAGCTGCTGCAGGAACCCTCTGGTGCACCAGGAACAATGTTGAAACTCTTCTCTCCCCCATGCCTGTGGTCTCAGGGTGCTGTTGAATACTACCTGTCACTCTGATGTTGCCCATAGCCTTGGCAATGCTGTTTTCAATCACACAGGTGTAGATAGCATTAGCAGTGATGTTGTGCAGGAGGGAAGCCACCCTCATAGTGACGTTTTTGGGGTTCAACTCGTAGCTGGTGTTGGCAGCATGGGGCAGGTGCTCCCCAGTGTCACTGTAGGCTGTACAGTGCACGGCAAGGCAAGGGAACGAGTGCAGGCCTTCACACTGCAGTGTGTCCCCATAGCTGTTGTTCACCTGCACCACGAGGATGCTGAAGGCTTTGGGAGGGACAACAAGGAGAGAGTCAAAACAAGGCAAGTGATAGAAACTGGTCAGGAAATACCCAACTGCATCTACCAGTTCCAGGTATTTCTAGGCTGCTTGCACAGCACTGCCTGTAGCCAAGCCACAAACTGGCTCAGACAGAGCTATGTATAGGTTGGGCCGTGGGAGGATGATTACAAGGGATCAAAGGACTCCTAGGACATGGCAGTCCAGCTTGACAGGACCTGCTGAGGTCGTGACACAGCTTTAGTATCTTAATAATGGGGGAAGATGATTCACTCTCTCCACTCACTGAGAAGGGGGCCTGACCCACACCTACAGCTTCACAGAGTTGTAGAATCGTTAAGGTTGGAAGAGACCTTTAAGATCAAGTCCAACTGTTAACACAGCATTAAGTCCACCACTATACCATAACCATAAATGCACATATTTTAAATCTCTAGGGATAGTAGGTGACCCCACTACTTCTCTGGGCAGCCTGTTCCAGGGCTTGAAAACCCTTTCCATGAGCAAATTTTTCTTAATATTAAATATAAACTTCCCCTGGTGCAACTCGAGGCCATTTTCTCTCCTGAGCAATCCCCTGCAGACCTGGAATAAGGAGGGCTTACACAGCCAAAGCACAGGACACCTGCCTTCAGTATTCATCAGCTTTGGCTTTGGGTGGTAGGACCTGAAGGTGAACTGGTGAAAGGATGAGCTAAAGAAAATCAGCTGAAAGGAACATGTCTGTCTTTCCACACAGAACAGTTACTACAGCTGTGTCACAACATTTCACGTGTTCTTTTTAATGCTTTTTCTGTGTGGATTACTTTAAATGTCCAATCAAGCAACACAAAAGCAGACAGATTCACAAGGTTTCAAGGAGGGATGAGGGACAAAGTTCCTGTGGACCATTTGCAACTCTCAGGCTTGAGCCAAAACCCTCTTTCACTTGGAGAGTTCTGAAGACTCTTCCTCACCCTCTTTGAGCTCTAGGGAAGCAATTCTAGCCACAGGGATGAGAGGGAGGGTGCAAAACTGGAGTCTGGAGGAGACCCTCAAGGGGTTCATCTATCTATGAGGTGACCACTTGGGAGGTGACTTGTTAATACAGCTAAATTCATCTCACTGGAAGAGGCTGAAGACCTCTTGGTTTCCAGATCTTTTCTCGAGGACTGACTCCTGTAAATATTTAATGTTTTAGATAAGTATTATATCAGAGGTTTGTTGCTTTGGTAGTAATTTTAAAAAACGTAATACTTTAGTAAAACTGAATAAAATATATTAAATTTTTACTATGCAGCACTTCTGGCTGGAGATATAACCTAATTCTAGAGAGAAAAAGCTACCATGTTATCAAGATTATAACCTTTTCTGGAACAAGGATGTCAAAAGAGGGAGTAAGGCCATAAATATCCCTGTAAAAGCCATAAAAATATCCTACTCGTAACACTCAGGGGTGCAGCACCATCCTAAGCACAGGTAGGTTCAACCAAGCCACATTAGCATGTGTTTTGCAGCAGTATTTTGCTCCTTGTAGCCCTCACCTCCTGTCCTGTACTGCAGAATTGCTTCCCCACTCCCTCTGGCTGTGGTGACAGAGCACTGGTAAGTGCCAGCATCAGAGAGCTGCACATTCCTCAGCTCCAGGGAAGCATTCCTGCCCATCACCTGGTCCGCAGACATGGCCGTGTGGCCCTGAAAGGACAGATCTTGCTCTTGCAGGTGGTCCTTCCCACCCTTAACTTGTGAACCAGCCCAGCTACCCCTTCCTTGGCCCATTGGATTACTATGCTGTCCATCTGGATGTCGGGCTTGAAAGTGCAGCCCAGGATGCTGAGCTGGCCAATGTTCCCTGGAGACATCAGTGCTGTCACACTGATGGAGTGTTTTCCTGCAAGAAGAGAGCAAGGAGGCAGGAGAAAGGTGAGGCAGCAAGCCCGGCGAAAGGCCAGACTTCCCTGTGGCTGTCATGGACCCAAGCCTGAGGCACTGGCACATGGCAAGGCCACCTGTGCTACTAGTAGAGGTCAGCTGCTGTGGATTGTATGCCAAGACAGAGCCAGGAGTATTTCTTTAGCAAAAGAGTGCTTTAAAAACTAGCTCTTTTTACTTGTTTGAGAAGAATTCGTGTGGTATTTTCTTGTTTACTTATATGTATTGGGATTTTTCTCTTTGCAGCTGCCAGAAAAGCATAGGTTTTTTGTCTCTTCTTAGTAAGGACCTCCCTTTATGCAATATAAATGTGATTGGAAGGCATAATGCTGACAAAGAAATAGCAGCTCTTTCCCCCTTACTGAAATCCAAATATTTTTCTTTCATTTAAGAAAAGTCAGCATCTCAAATCCTAAGCTTCAAGCCTGAGAATTCCCACAGCCAGGTCCTCTTTCCCATGCAGTCCTTCCCTACCCATCCTCACTCAACACATTCCAAGGAAGCTGCATTTTGGCCAACACCAAAGCAACACATTTTTGTTGTCTCTGAGGGACCTGGGAAAGGTGCCCCATCCTGTCAGATGCTCTCTGATTTCACAATAAATACCATCCCATCATGTCATCCCATCTGGGAGAAGGAGCACAGTATGTGCAGGACTTTATGTGTAGGTTTGGGGCTCCAAGCCCAAGGAAATTTCAGCTGGCATACCACTACACCTCCAGCAGCACAGGCTGCACTACACCTACCTAGCCTTTGTTCAAGGGTGGTAGGTGGCACTTCCACACACGATCACACCTCAGCTTGTGCCTGGGATAGACACACGGAGGTAGAGGCAAGGCAAAAGTTAATCACCCCACCAGTAACTGCAAGAAATCTGAGCAGTCACATCTCTGAGACGCAAAAACCAATGACCAGGGTGATCACTGCAGCCAGAATGACAATGTCTGTAGTCATGGTACTGGGGAAAAAGGAAAGAACAACATTAGCGCAGAGTCCACCTCCTTCACAGCCCATGCCTGTACCATCCATCTGCAGAGGTGTCTGCAGGAAGGAGGGGGAGGTAGATGGGGCCCAGACCCAGAATGAGGCAGAAGGGTGAAACACATGACCACAATAGAGATGAACATTCAGGTGTCATCAACAGTGGGGGATGCTGTGGCAGCAGACCCAGGCCTTGCCTTTGAGAGCAGGCAGCTAGCCCCAGTGGAGGATGCTTCTCTCTGCATTCCCTGGTGCATAAGCAAGTCAGGCAGTCCCTGCTGGTGCTCGTGAGTGATCAGGGAATGAGCAAAGCAGAGATGTCTCTGACCCCAGGAGACACAAGGCAGAGAATGTGCAGGAGGGGTCTGGAAACAGGGCCATTTTTGAGCTAGTTGGATATGGGATGCTCCATGTGGAGATCAGTAATGGGCTGTTGAATGAGAGACTGAGGAGAAGAGGACCACTTGCCAAGCCACACAGGTGGAGCAGCCATGCCAGAGGAGAAGAAAGGCAGCATGTCATGGATCAGCACAGCTTCAGCCTTGCCAAGCACAACCTCTCTGGCACAGCCCACCTTGGACAGACCCAGAAGCACAGCTAGGTATGGACTCCCACCATAGCCACTGGAGCTGTCATTTGGTCATGGGCACATTTTCCTGTGGACTGAGGGGTTGTGGCAGCAAACTCAGCTCCCAGCCAGAGCAAGCCCTGAAGCAGCTCCCCACAAAACCCACAGGTACATCCTGAGGCTCATGACCAGCAGTCTCAAAGAGACCCCTCACACAGGAGAAGCCCAGAGAGCATGAGAGGTCACACTCTTCTGCCCTTCTGCCCACACGAAACCAGCTGCTCTGCTTCAGCAGCATTTAGTGGTTTGCAGCACACTTTACCAACACACTGGGCAGCCTCCCGCAGGATAGTCCGTCGGTGTCTCTACAACCAGGGACTCCTCCCACCACTGATGTGTGCCTGCATCTGTGACTTGCTCAATTTCCATGGATTCTGTGATCACAGGGCTGATACGGAACTCCAGAGAATCGTACCATGTGAACAAGCCTTTCCTGCAAGGAACAGTAGGGAAGGAAGAAAGGGAAGGTAGGTTGAAAGAGGGAATAGAGAAAAAGGGAGATGTTGCAGGCTTGTTTGCTCTCCCAGTCTCCCTTGCATCTTCATCCTTAAAGCCAGTGGGAAGTTGTTGGAAGAAGCCCTGTTTGCACATGCTCAGAAGGGATTAGAACTCTGTATTTTACCAAAATATGTGGTACTTCCAGATAAGGGTTCATACAAATCCATATGCAAATTCACAAAATACCGAGCTCTGCCTAGAGGCCCTCAAAGCTGGGAAATGTCATGTTTGGCTTCTTCCCCGTTGTCACCAGCTTTCAGTCATGGCTGGCATGCACAGCAGTTCTCCACCTAATCCCTCATGGTGGATTACAGCTGACCCTACTGAGAGAAAATCCATGGACATCATCCAGCCATGGGCACCAGACAGCTGGGGACTGAGCCACTGCCTCCTCCAGAGGCCTGTGGGATGGGGACTTTGATCGTTTCTGTGGATCCTGCAGTGTGACACTTCCAGAAAAGCCTTACCATGTCCCACAGGGCTCAATCCCGAGTCACTCAAGGTTCCAGCCAGGCTCACTGTTGGACAGCCTGTGCCTTCCTGTTCTGGGGAAGATGCCAAGTGTGTCATGTACACTGAATAACATCCACCTCCTTACAGAGCTCTACCAATTTCCACTCTGGGAGTTGATCCCAGAGCGAGATAGCTGCTATAAACTCAGCCAAGGTTGTCATGACAAGCCTCAGCTCTCACGCCTGGGAGGCACAAAGCAAGCAGCAGCCACGCTGTGCTGTCACACAACAGTTGTGACTCATATCTTACAATCCTTATTCCCAAGGACAGGCAGGGAAGAAATTGCTCAGAGTTAAGGGATGATGCCAAAGGAGGTATGCTAGGAGTCAATGCTAGGAGGTACGGCAGAGGAAGCCAGGATGTCCTCCTGTGCACTCCCTAAATGCTTCAAGTACCACCACTCTTGCCTCTGGTCCTTGAAAGGACCCTCTGGCCTGAACACCACCTCTGCCCTCACACTCTTCTGTCCAAAACCACCCTCAGCTTACTCACAGACAAACACAAACCGGCACAAACAAGCCACGCCAATGCTTTGTCCTGTGCTGATGCCACCTGCCCACATGGCTGCAAAGCATTGCTAGTTTTGCATCAAGAGAATGGCTACTCACCCTGCTCTAGAGCACCAGCAGGGCTGATTGAAAAAGCAGCTTGCTTGTCAGGGGGAATAGCAATTTTGGGTATACAGATGCCACTGCCCACTTCAACATCCTTTGTGAGGGACAAGGAGAAATCAGTCCCTCTGGAATTTCATCTGCAGAAACTGCAAGATCTAGTAATCATAGGATCCTTACAAACATTTGCTGTGTGCTCACTGGAGTGCAGAGTGAATGAAAGGAACCTGGCATCCCAGCCACATGCTGGTGGCAGCTGTGTCTTGCAGCAGTCCAGGTCAAGCACTTCAAGCAAAAAGCAATTTTCTGTGCATCGGTACCCCTGGTACCTCCAGTGCTTTAAAGGCATAGGAAAAGACTGAGGCTGAGGCTGCACCAGGTGGAGCCCTGACACCACCCTCAGTTCCGAGTGTCAATCTGGCAGCCTGTGGGATGCTACTCTGTGCCTCTCACTCTATTTTCTATAGTTTTGCTCCTCATCAGCCAAATTTGGAATCCAACTGGAATCAAATTTGGCATTAAATTCATCCCTGCCTGAATGCTGCTGATCCCAGCCTGGGGACAGGGAGAGGCGTGCAGCCTGGCTGTGATAGGCAGCAGTCCTAATCCTCCAGATCTCTAGCTCCATTTGGACTAAATTTTCCTTCAGGAATGGGCTTGGAGGGTCGAAAGAACTGGAATATTAAGATATCGACGGTCCCTTGCCTTCTTCCTTATATCAAACTTTACTGGAAAAGAAATGGCAGTCGTAACCCAGAACAATAGGGTTTTTATTCCAATATGCAGCTGATGATTGCAGAACCCAACTTTCTTCAGCACTTCAGGGGGTTTTGTTGTTATTGTTGTTGTTTTTGGTTTTGGTTTTGTTTCCTTGGTTGGTTTTGTTTTTTTCCTGAAATCAGCAGAAATCTCCCACTGCTTCTCTGAAACTTCCTGGAAAATTCACCCCTCTCTCTGGTCTGTTTCTGCATTTCAGGATTAGCTTGAAGAGCAAATGTCCCTGAAGGAAGCCTGCTTCTCTCAGTAACCTGCTGCTGCCTGGCAGAGCAGGCAGAGGCACTCGTAGGGCAGGAGGAAGGTTTTCAGAACAGCAAGGGATAGATGTGCATTTTTTCACACCCATCAGTTATTTCATTTCCCTGACAAAGGCTGGCTGGGCTGCCTCTTGAGAATAACAGAGCTGGTTATTGCATGCATTCCAGACACATGAGGAATACAGTGCCCAGGGAATATTTACACTCTGACATTGTATCTACAGGCAACCTCACTCCTGTCAGTGAAAAGGTGAAGATAATATTGCTATTTATCTCTTCCTTGATGCTCCATGTGACAAAGCTCATGTGTGAGGTCTCTTCTGTTCACACGTGGCCTATCCTTCTCCCCACTGCTGTTCTACTCTGGTGGGAGAGACACAGGTAACAGCTGAAATCTTTTCCACAGAATAAATTCCAGCAGCACTGTCTCACACACCACTTGAACCTCTGTATCCATCCAGCCTGGAAAGACACTGGGATGGAAAGACACAGCTTGTTGCTGTCTCTGTTCAGTGAGGTTTAGATGAAAGCTCAGTCCATGTTCACTAGAGGATGAAAATTTTGCCCTTTTATCCAGCTGGTAGGGGATATTTTCAACTAATCAAGAGATAAGGATATGAGGTAGATACTTTTATGGCTTCTTTTTCCAACTGTAGTCCACCAGCACTCGGTCAATAGCTCCAAAGGAAATGGGGTATGTGAAATGAGAGGCACAAAATGCTTTGTCTTCCCAGTCTTCCCAGCTTTTACTTCCGCAAGGAAACTTCTGGAGGACAGTTTCTTTCTCCCCACAGTAAGCTGATAGGATGGAAACACAAGCAACTGTCTGAGGACCAGCAGAAGAGGGGTGCCTTTCTCAAGCCATTGAACCCCCAAAATACAACAGCAGGAACCCTTCCTCAAGCACTGCTACTCCAATCTACCACAGCATTCAACCCTGGGATAGAAAATTCTAGCAAATGCAGAGTTCTAGGATATGCATCTCCATCTTGACTACAGCTGATGACCTACACATGGGTGTCTGATACATACATGGCCTTACTACAAATTGTATAAAACAAGATCTACTGGTATTTAAGTAGCTTGAGTGAGTGCAGTACAGTCAAGATGCAAAGAACTGCTGTCTTGAGAGCTCCTGGCGGCAGGGTGTTACATCCCAAGAGTCTGAAAAAATTCAATTTCCTCCCTCCTCTCTGCCAAGGCAAGTACAGATGGTACCATAGCTCCAGAAAACGACCTGGTCTTGGGATGCCATGGTCACAGCATCTACAGAGACAAGTCAAACACCAGGTGCCTGAAGGTCCCACACTGTTCAGCACAGCCCCTGTCTGTTGCATGATATATCCTCCCAAGCTGTCCTGCTTAAATAACTGGAAGCTAAGGAGTGGTGAGCCCAAGCACTGAACTCTCAGGAATGAGGAAACACTGAGGATCTCAACTCCCCCCTCTCCCAGGGCAGTCATAATCAGGGAGGTCTGGTTAGACACTGGGGCAACAGGAGAGACCTCCCACACATCCATTTAAGAAACATGTCTTATTTAAGATAAAAAATAGCACAGCTAGTGGTTTGGTAGCCAGCTAATCCTGGGGTTAGAGTGCACAAGTGTTCCAGGATATCTGCAGTTTAACCATCACTGAGGGGCCGTGTCATAACCAGGACTAGCTCATGTCTCTCTGCAAAAATCTCCAACCACTATCTTGGCACTGGGAAGAGAGGTCCCACCTGCGGGACTCCCTTCTGGCCCCATTTTTTCACGGTGAGTCTCTCCTGCCTATCTGTGCTGTGCTAAGAGGCTCCTACGAGCTCAGCAGTCTCTCAGAGACACACGGGTTTGGCAGCTGCCTGTTTTCTGACTGCTGTTTAATCCCACTGAGCTCCTTCAGGCCAAACTACCTCTTCCCCCCACCCCGAGGCCAGCTCCTGTTGCTCTCAGGTCTGCCAGTGTGCTGCACTTTGGAGCATGCAAAGGAAAGAAACTGGCAAGACCCTGCAGGTTTTTCCCTCTGGGCTTGGTCTCAGATGAGGCTGGGGGCAGGATGAGCAGCTCTTGGGCATAACAGTTGAGTAGGGCAGAGAGTCTGTGAAAGAGTAGAAAAGGGAAGGCAGCTTGCACCACCATTTTCAGTTCCCCAAAAGTGAACCTGTATCCTGATATCTACATCTGGACTGTGTTCCAGGGAGGATGGGTAAAAGGGGATTTTTGACACTCTGTAGCTATCTCCAGTAAGTTTAGATGGTAAGTGGGAGTGAACAGCTTTCCCATGAAGAGCTGACGATGCCCAGAGGAACTGGGCACAGTCCAGCAACTAAAAAAACCAAACTACTTTCTCTGCAATAACCAGAGGTTAAAATCAAGACCAAACAATACTGGTCAGTAATGATAAGCTGGGAAAAAAATCATCATTATTTGTCAGCATTCTGCTGATTATTAAGCCTCTCATAATTTAGCAGTACAGTACAAGAAGCTAAGAATAGCTCTAGGCCACAGTGGCCTGGTGGGAAATGCACCTTATAAATATCCTGTTGCCCTCAGTGAGACTTGATTAATGGCTGTGGTGACACCTGATTTACAGCTGCATGTGCAGTGGGCAGACAAGATGTCCCCTTTCTGCTCCAGTTAACTCCAGGTCAGCCACAGCACACCGCATTTCACAGTCAACAGTCAGGTTACTTCCATGTTGGAAAAACACTGCTTCTCGGGCACAGGCAGCCCCAGCAGGACCAGGGCAAGTCCCGTTACCCAGGGCAACAACACATTCATTTCTGAGCAGCTCATGCTGGATCTGACTCCTGTCTGTGTGCTCATACTGCAAAAAACCCCAACAGGTGTTTAGGATACTTCCCAAAGAAACCAAGGTCTGTGACTACATGATCTGCCCAGCTCTTACCAATCTTGAATCTATTAGCAAATCCAACCAAATGTGACAGCAGGATCTGGTCCCACATGGCCTGTGAGAGCTGGTGAGCACCTGGGACACATCAGCTGCCTTCACTGAGGAGAAGGGAACAGCAGGCACAAAGTGCTACCAGCTTTGCTAGGCCCAGCAGCTGGTACCCTACAGAAGAGCTCCCCTGCCTATGGGCAGTTTGCACCTTATTTCAGCGTCACTGGAATGCTGCAGGAGCTATCAGTGACGAAGACAGAATTGTGGCAAGCTGACCAGGAGCCACATATTGACAGAGCATTCCACAGAAGTATAGGCAGCCAGCAAGCTGAAAGAGATGAAAGCTTTTCTTGGGGTCTGGCCCAAAATGTGGTACTTTCCAGCTTTATGATCCCAGATCTGTAATAATGATGCCAAGAGATGCTTGAGAAGCACCACAAATGAGAACGCTACTGATCTGGAAGGAGGAGAACTTGGCACTGCCTTATTGGCAGTATCTGTCCTCAGCCTCACCTGCCTGTGAAGGGAAGCTGGAAGCAGCAGCACCCAGAACAAGCCCTCACCTCTCAAAAGAGGGAGGTGCTGAGCCACCCTGGGCTGCAAACACACAAAGTCCTCCACACTGCATGTGGATCTGTCCTGACATGGCATTCCCATCAGTGCACCCCTGTGAACCACCTTCTGCTATGGGAAAAAGAAGCAGCCCATCTGAGCCAGGATCTGCTCTGCTCCTAAGATCTTCTGGGACAAAATAGACACTTGTGAAACAAAGGCACAAGTCCAGTTGTGTCACCAGCCTTTCAAAGGAGAGATACCTTAGCCTGAACCTGACTCTGGAAGCACCCTACATGGAGACTTTCAGGCTCCAGGCATCCTTCCAGGTTTTCCAGTCTCTTGTTCTTCATGGTTTCTCTTCTAGCTACACTGTTTTCCCTATTGAAGGAGTAAATCCTCTTCTCTTGACATCCAAAGCCCCTCCCCATGTTCATTTTTTCCCTAATTATGGAGGCAGGCAATTTTATCAAGAGCTTTTGTCCTGGGGAAAAAAAAATAGTATCTACCAGCACAGTTCTGTCAGCACTGCATTCATGTCTGTCTTGAAAATACCTTTATTATCTCCAGGACCAGCTGGACAGAAATAATATCATATAGCCCAGCAGACTAACTACACTTCCTAATGCACCCCCTGACCCAGGTGTTTACTAACAGAGCACTAGAAGCCCATCTTGGGAATGGTTGTTGGGGTCCAATATCAGACTCTAGCAGATCAGAAGGATGTATTCATTTGCAAAGTACTCTGAATTATGAAGACTGAGGGCAAAGGCTGCTGGCAGATAAAGGGAGGTGTTGGGGGTTGAATTGTTCCCTTTTCTTTCTGTGGAATTTTTCCCATTGTTATGCTGAGTATTTATGGCTACACCTTAGTAGCAATAGTTTTCTCTCGCAG